AAAAAAAAAAAACAAATCATAACAATTTCGAACCAAAAAATTGGAAAAATTCATGCACAGCATCAAATTCATACACAGCATCAACTTTCATTTATGTGAAGCCACTCAATTTACTTACAATGATCACAGAAAATACCAAAAATTCATACACAACATCTACATTTAATGGACATAAATTGAGAACAAATTATGAACAATAGCTCGACTTTTCTGGTGTGCGGGTGGTTCAATTGATAATATACCAACTTTGTACCATTATGCATGTCAAAATATATAATTCATGAAAAATCCCTAATTTATAAAAAAACCCTAATTTATAAAAATCCCTAATTGAAGATGAATTCCAAATCATTACCTTCGATTTAGAGGAAGAAGCTTTATTCTGAGGGGATTCTGCTTTTGATTTAGAGGAAGATGCCATTGTTGCGCCGGGCTTCGACGGAGAAGAAGATCGGAGATGGAGTCGGCCGACGATGTAGAGGTTCGTTTTTTTTGGACGGAGAGTTCGTCGCTTCAAACGGGCGGCGACAGAGCTTTGCTCGTGTGGCGAACGAGGCGCGAAATTGGCGAAGAACGACGGAGGGTTTGGCGTCGAGCTTTGCTCGTGTGGCGTCGGGCGCAGAGTTCTTTTTTTGGACGGAGAGTTCTTTTTTTTTATGTGAAATTTCCGAAAATAAAAAGAAAATGAATAACTTTATTACTTGTATTTATATGGGGAGTAAAATGGAACAAGTATAAGGGGGTGGGGAGTGCAGTGGAAATAAATAATGATAGGGGACTGAACATGAATTTAAAAGAGGACTTAGGGATTTAAGAGGAATTTGCTGTTATTTTAGACCAGCTAGTAATTAAATAAACAAAAATGAAATGTAACTGCTTTCGGAGAAAAATCAAAAATATTTTTATATAGTTATATTCCACAAACACAAGTTAAACTCAAACCACAAATCCAAATTAACAGGAATCTTAACATACCCATTTGCGCAGGTAGCATCGGAATGTAGCATGGGCTTGACCCATCATTTCATTCTCAACAATACAGTTAATTAATAGCACACATACATACCCATAGAAAAACAAGAAAATAATGATAATAATAATAATAATGAATTCCTACATGAGCAAACCCGAGGCGCGGAACTTTTCCTCAGTGATGCAATCAATCCTGTGGGCCATCTCGGGTCCCAAATAGTTCTCCCAATCCCCAACCACCCCACGCCGGAAAAACGCCCTGTTCTCCTCCCCGGACGACAGCTTCCCAGTCCTATTAACTTGGAGCCCGCTCAATCTACCGAAGCTGCACATTTCGAGAATGTTTTCCACAACGCCCGAGGCCTCCTCCTCGTGGGTGAAGGGGCAGCCGAGGAAAGCAGCCAGGCGCCTAAGCACAGGACCCGGGCTCTCCTTGAGCTCCTCGTACCTGAGGAAGAGAAATTTATCGGGGGCGTCGCGGCTTTTGTACCAGTAACCGAGCACGTGGTCCCAGAAGGGCCCGAAGATGCTGACCCCGCGGCAGAACATGTGGAGCACGTCCTGGACGGGGGTTGGGGCGGAGCCCTCGGGCTTGAGGGCGTTGGTGAAGTGCCAGAGGGAGACAAAAACGTCCTTGGGGTCCCGGCAGAGGTAGATCACTTTCCCGCCATTTGAGGCATAGGGCAGAGAAGAGAAGGGCATGTGGGTGGCCAGGATGCGGCGCTGGTGGGAGGGGTAAAAGGAGGAGTCGGGGGCTCGGCCGTTGACGAAGAGGCTGATCTCGAGGAAGGGGACGAGTTGGTGGGGGCTGGCGGAGGAGAGAGGATGGTTGTGGTTGGAGGGGAAAGGGGGGTGAGTGGCACGGTTGGCGAGGGTGAAGACGAGGGCCTTGAGCCAGGTGGTGCCGGATTTGGGGGTGGTGACGAGGAGGATGTCGGTGGGGAGGGGACGGAAATGGGTCTGGCAGGCCACGACACCCTGGAGGTAGCGGGCGGGGTACCAGAAGCCCTCGTACAGGTACAGGTGTGCGACCAGCCACCCCTTTTCTTTCGGGAGTTTTGAGATGGTGTTTCGGGTTTCTGGGGTTAGGGTTTCTTCTTCTTGGAGGTATTCCGGAGGTATGATTTCTGACGGCATTTTTTAATTTCCTCTCTCTATCTCTGTATTGTTTTAATTTGGGAGTGTTGTGTTGTTTTGTGTATGTGTTTTCTCATGCAACTCGTCTCGTGTTTCATATATAGAGTGTTGGGGTGCAATGCAATCATGTGGATGTATGTACTGAGATTACATTGATCATGCGCCATGATCAATAAATAAATATTGGTTTTGTTTATAATTAAACGAGATGGGTACATTAATTATACATACATACATGTGCGTGTATTAAGATGTGGTTGATTAGTATATTGGTTGTGTTGGTGGTGTGATATCAAGTGGTCCCAACCCAAGTCATCAATGCATCAAGGACGACAAATATCCACTCTAATCATTCACTAGTTGTGGGACTTGAAATATTATCTATCATGTATTTGAATGATAACTATTTTATGTTCTCAATGTATTTTTATTTTTTAGCTTGAAATACTAATATTTTAGAATTCTGAAAACGAAACAAACAACTAAAGAACACAAGATGAAGTATTAAATTTGGTGGTAAGGAGTAGAATGTTCAGCTGGAAAAACAATTGCTTATCAACTGCAAGTAAGGAGGTTCTTATTAAAGTTGTTCTTAACGCCTTGTTTTTGCAATGTCATGCTTTTTGTTACTAGTTAGTCTTTGTAAGGACATTGCCAGCATCTGTGCTCAATTTTGGTGGAGCAAATGGGCTGACATGAAAAAGGGGTTAGGGTCCACCTCATTTTGAAGTTGAAAACCATGAGACAAATATGTGCGGTGATCATTCTCTCTTGTTGATTGTGGATGAAGATGAACAAGTGCAACATTTGTCCGTTAGACCAATACCAAATTAGTTATTTCTACAAGTCTATTCCTAGTTAGCATAGTTATTTAATTATTTGATGATTCTTAGGATGATAGATATTTATTTTCATTAGAACTAGAATTTAATTCGTCTTAGGCTTAGTATTTCTCTTCTTTAAATAACCAATGTAGTCATCTTTAATTTAATTAATCAATAAGATATCAAAAAAGCTCTTTTGTGCACAAAATCTTTGTGTTAACTAAGGCCGTTAGTGTAGGTTTTCGCAAACACAAACACCACGATACACGATCTTCATCATTCCTAACTCGAGGTAAGTCGCATCACCTAACTAAGTTGATCTCTAGGTCGACCTCTTTGTGACAATAAAACCGAGTGAGTCGCCGAGCTATTTAGTTTGCTATGTCACCTGCGAAGCACAACGTCTAGAAGTACTCCAACATGTTTCATAAATAATCGTTCCGTTTAATTCCATAATTATGATGTATTAAATACACATTGTTATTCATTATAAGAAAATGATTAGATTCCAAAAAAAAAATCATACAGTAATATATTTCAACCGAATTCCATCGCACTCTAACAGAAATTAAATATAATCTTTTTTTTTTATAAAATTTCAACTAAAATATTTAGTTTTAAACTATTTCCATTGAAATTTCAGCTTAGTTTTGACAATTCAAATGATAATTTTTCCAAGAACAGAATTTAATGAAAAAATAATAATTGCAAAGGAATATCCTCTAACAATAAGCCTTCAAAACACTGATGTTGTAATCATTAAATTGCAACTAAAAGATCCAAGCGAAATTTTATCTCAACGAAATTCAGTGTTGATCTCCATTGATACCATTAGAGTTAGAACACTAAAATATCAATTTAAAATTTAATTTGATGGCCAACAACATAAATTTAATATACCTCACGTGGTATCCCCCTGTCTCATACGGGGTCCATTCTTTTTTTTTTTACAAAATATATATATATATATATATATATATATATACGTCACGTGGTCCTTATGCAAAGATCGACAAAAAATTCATTATGCTATTGGTACCACATTCCAAATTTGCAAGAAATGTCCATTTTGAATCATGACTCTTTTGAAATTGTGTTGGACATTGCAAATAAATCCAGATCATCATTTGGTAAAGGATATCATAGCAGTGCAACGGATGTAAAATAAGGCTCTTTTTTATTTAAAATGAAAAATATTAGACTGATGTTTATTTTGAGCATCACCTAACCCTAAAAAGGGCATAGAGCACGACTATTGGACTCACATTGAAAATTCCAGCGACCAACGAAATGATAAAAACGTGTGAGTGGTCCACGACGAGACTCTAAATGATGTTAGCACGACTTTACACCACGATTTGTAGTAGTTCCTTTGCACTCAATTTGCATTGCTTTTTAGAAATAATTAAAGAGCCTTATTACATCTGTACATGTGCCACAAACTACTCCATTATCACTAGGAAAATTTCAAAGTGAGATTTAGCGATTTAAAAAAATATGAATATAATTGTGTTATAAATTATAATGTGTTTATCTGTCACTCGTATTACAGAACTAGTAATATCATTGGGTCGACTTACTTATTTTCTATTATGAATTTCTTATTTGATAAAATAGCTTGTCCCAGGAAGAGAAGGAAAAAAAAAGGTGGTTTACATGTGATGTTATCTAAGAATTTTGAGAGATTGTATAGAATTTAGATTCATTCAAGAAATTATGTGGGATTTTGGAATGCAACTGCATCTAACTTCTGACTGANAAAAAACTCAATTATTAGTTTGTTGAGTAAAAAAATTAAAAGAAATGGTACGCAGATATAATAATTGCCATCCTTTCTATAAAGTGGACGAAAAAGAAGACTGAAAGATGTGAAATGTCAGCATTATTGAATTATGTGAAAGCTCGTACTATCATCCCACTCAAAACCCTTCAACACCTGACCAACTTCAAAGCCACCCAAAAAATTGGACCATAAACACAATATCTCTACAAAGATCACAAAAAAGCCATGTTTCTGCTTTGCAGTGAGGGAAAAAAGAAAACCAAAAGGAAAAGTAACGCAAATTTAGACATTCTCCACCGGTACTGCAAATTGCAAAAATTGCAATATGGGATGTTCCACCCCAATATGCAAAACCTATCGCAAAATCGATTTCTCTCTCTCTCGAACGCAAATTTGCGTCCGATCGCAAAATTTGCGTCAATCTTTTTTTTTTTTTAACAATTTGGTCCTTTAACTTCTATTAGTTTGTAAAATGAATATTAGTATTTTTGTATTTCTCTTAATTATTGAACAGTAAAATGATAAAATAAATTTTGAAATTGACAAAACTAGTTTTAAAAGTACTAAAGTTTCCCTTTTATTTCTTACATGAAAATTAGATAATGTGATATTTAAATTGACGAATATCATATTTTATATTTGTACATAATAGAGTAAATATACATAATAATTTTATTTTTTTTCACAATAATAGTGTAAAATAGAAAAAAATTAATTTCATGAAAATTAAATAGTATAATATTTAAAATAGTTAATATCATATTTATCCTCTAAATTTATATATTTCACAATAATAGTGTGAAATATATAGATATTAGTTATGGTATTTTTTTAACAATAAAAAAACATTAAAAAACAACAACGTTACTAACATAGAATGAAATAAGATTAAAACATGATAGATCACGATTAAAAAATAATATTTAAATAACTAGTGTTGATATGAACAACAATACTAAAAATAAAAATACATCATAAACCCAAAAACTAAAAACAAGTACGAGAATTTAGTAATCTAGCAAGTTGGCATCACTTCCTCCATGATCATTGAAAAATTGGACAAATGTATTGGCTGAAAATGATTCCGATTGAACTTGTTGAGCTATTTTCTCCAAGATTTGTGCTTTTTCAGCTTCAATATATGCTCGAAACTCTAGGATCTTCAATAAACTAATATCTTGAAACATAATTTTATTTTCTTCCTCATTTCTTTAATAGCGTGAGATCTGTTGTGCATTTTCAATTGGTGTTTTATTTAGTCGTTTGATTTTTTTAGCGCCCCAATATGTTTTTTGTTTTTTTTCCTTCATAGCATTGATGATCTATGAAGAATCATCATTTATCTTTATTTTTGGTTTGGCTTTCTTCACTTCGATAGGTCTTTCAGATGGAGAACCACAAGTAAATTGTTCTGAGTCGCTTAAATTTAGAGAAAATAAAGAAATCCCTGGGGATTCTTGTTGGGCAGACTCGGGAGTTGGAATTTCTGACGCCGAATTTGGATAACGACCAAGTTTTTTTTTTCTTGCTCCTCGTAGCTCCATCTTTGAAATTTTCAAAGTTTTTAATAATATCTCAAACTTGGTCATATTACTAGAATCTTGTTTAAACTACACTTTTGCTTTGAGCATCTACATTTTTTCATAAGAAATTAACCATAACTAATATAAATAATGAATTTGATAAGTAAAAAATATAATAAGATTTTAATACTCATTGTATCTTCATTAGAAGCACAACTTTTATGCATATCTTCTACTGCTTTTATGCATGAATGGAGTGTCTTGGCTGCTTTTTTTATTGTTTGGATTCATGTTTACATAGATCTCTTGCTACGAATCTCCCAATACTCAAGTCATCCTTCATTGAAAGCTTATTCTATACGGGACCAAAATCGATAAGATGATTAGTATATCTCAATAATTGGGTCATGAGAAATATCCATATGAACCTGACATAAAAGAATATCTTCATCATGGTTATAGGAAGATGAATGGATCGACATCCTTACAAAAAGTTAGATGTGATAAAAGTTTAATGTAAAAAAAAAATGTTGGGATGTAGCCACTGCAATACCATATCTTCTTTTATAGAGAAAGACCCTCTCTCATCTCCATGCTTTAACCCGAAATGACCACTCACTGCAAAAGTTCTCACATTTCTCGAAGTTCTTACTCGAAAATGACCACTTTCTACGAAGATTCTCACACATCACTATCTCTGACTTGAAAATTACCTCTCATTGTAAAGGTCTTCAGGTCTCTCAATTTTTTGACTCGAAACTGCCCACTCTATGCAAAGGTCACACTTCTCCATGATCTGACCCGAAAATGACCTATCCTTGCAAAGTTCTCCACGTCTCTCAATGCTTTGACCTAAAAATTATCACTCTC